GCACACAAAAGACACGCATACATACACACATTAAGAAACATATCTTTGCGAGTATAGATATAGACAGGGTGGCCATAGGATGCAGTAGTGTATGGTGACAGTTCGTTTCTCGCTTGAATGACATCTTCTAGTAAATACACACACACACACACACACACACACACGCACTTATATATATATATATATATATATATATATGTATTATTTGTCTATATTTCTGAGATGAAGTATTATGTACACTATTTACATTATTCGGACTATTGTCCTCATCTTTGTCGCTATATTTATGACAAAGTTTCGGCATTTCAGTATCTGTCTATATTTCTGAGATGAGGTATTATGTACACTATTTACATTATGCGGACTATTGTCCTCATCTTTGTGTGTGTGTGTGTGTTTGTGTGTGTGTGTGTGTGTGTGCGTGTGTTTGTGTGTAGTTCAGTGCGATGCGTTTATGTACGAAACAGCCCTTTAGGAAAAATAAATAAATAAATAAAATAAAATAAAATTCTCTAGAAACATAATGACATTATTGTGCCAAAAGCTATCTTTTGCTGCGACTGACCAGTCGATGTGCGTACATGAATGCTATCATTCGCTTTGAAACGGTCTTGATACGTTAATTTAATTTAATTTTAATAATTATATTGAGTTTTCGGCTCTCGTTTTTGAAACATGTGAACTCTTATGTAGCGAAGGAATCATATTTATTTAAAAATAATTATAATATATATATATATATATATATATATATATATATATATATATATATATATATAACCAAATGCGTAAATATAGGTAGATGTACGAGCGAGCAATCGTATACAAATACATATAAATATATATCAATGTTCAATAATAGAATTAGTATATATATTTTAAGGAGTATACAAAATATCTTTCATTGTTTGCAGAACTCTGAGTTTCATGCCGAGCTAATTATCAGGTTGTCGAAGCAAAATTAAAATAAAAATAAAAATACCAGCACACTTGATAATTGCTTTGGCATGAAACTCAGAGTTGTGCAATCAATGTAAATTATTTGGTATATTCATTAATATATATATATATATATATATATATATATATATATAAATGGTGGTACTCGTTTAGCTCAACTTGCAGTAGAACAAATTGGTGCCCAAGGAAAAATGGGGAACAAAAAAAAGAAGAAAGAACCAAGAACATTAAAACAAGGCGAAAACAATCGTCCAGTGTTCAAGCTCCAATCCAAAGAAAAAAAAATAAAACGAGTGAAAAGACAACTACGTAAAGTGCTCAATACACTAAGTAGAGCAGTATCCTGAAGATCCGTTTAGGTGAAAACGAGGTAGCTTTGCCTGAATCCTTAGGATTATCTTATCTTTTATATATATATATATATATATATATATATATATATATATATATATATATATATATATATATATGAGGATTTCCAGGTAGAATATAATCCAGGTAGATGTATATGTATATATTGATATATTGAATAATTTAGACAAGTTTGTTATATTTTCATATATTGAAGGAAATAAAATCGCTGCGTTGGTTCATATTTTATTTTCGACGTAGCAATAATGATTGAATAATTTAGACAAGTTTTGTTAACTTATTTTCAAGGTGTCATTATTGAAGGAAAAGAGAAAATCGCTGCGTTGGTTCATATTATTTTAATCCGAGGACTTTCGACTTAGCACAATGTCATCATCAGGGTGTTGCTTATTTCAAGACAAATATTGTAGAGTTCACCATTTTCAGAGACAAAATTGTTGTGTTCACCTGAAAGTTCAATTTTTACTTGTGAAGTGAAGAACGCTGAGTTAGTACGTGACCGCTTCATACCGATTCAGGGGAGCTAGCTAAGTAAGTTTTTAAGAAATAAGTATTAAAACCATTAGTGGAAGCCTTGATATTTTAAACTATATAATGAACACATTTTAAAATATTTGTACAGTATTTTTAATTAATTTTATTAACGTTTAACCGCAGCCCAAAACTAAATTTTTTAATATAGATAGCCGCAACAAACCGGGGTGGGTTTATTATTATTTTTTTATTATTATTTATAGATAGATTTTTTATTATTTTCATGACAATTGTAGAAGTAGTTTCAGCAAGAGTTTTTCTGAATTGCGAATGTGGACAGATATGCTGTTTTAAATGTTTTTAGAAAAAACAAAATCCGTTGGACACGTGTACAAAATGACAATCCTTGCCCTCTCTCACCTGGGCTTTGTCAAACAGCCCGCTGCTAATTAGTCTTGATTTTAGAAAGGATCTTTTCCGCAAAAACTCACCTCTTTGTTTTTCCTGATAGCCGAGAAAATTATCTTTGTCGTAGTGTGTCCAACATAAATATTATTTTTACCGTTGGAGATGCAATCTCCCAGAGGTCATTTAAATTTATAGACAATGTTGTTTTTCTGCAACAATGATTGAATTAGATATACTAGTTTAGTTTAATTTCTGAATATAGAAAATTTCATATTTCTATGAATAT